TGTGTACGGAACATTTTCATTTCATTCGCAACGCAGCTTGCGCAAAGACAGCTAAATAGCCAAAGAGCTTTAGATGAATATATAAGCGGATTACGAAAGTTTTGGAAAATTTTTAGTCCTTAAAATCGATAGTGCCTAGTTCATGTGTGACAAAGTGCAAAAGTGTTTGCGTGCGACTAAGATATACGAAACATAAAATACTAAAATAAATAAACAATAAGCTCCACTAGTAACAAGTAAACAATGAAACCCGCGAATTTGAACGAGCAATATGCTCGCTTCCCGGAAATCTCACGTGAAGAGATGAAAAAATTCGTTAGTTGGATACACGCCCAACCGCACATGCAGAATTTGTCCGAAGAGGAGGCGTTGCACTTCTTTCACGCCTGCATGAACAGCATGGAAATGGCCAAGCAGGTGTTGGACACCAATCTAACGGTGCGCACACATTGCGATGATTTCTTTACGAATCTGGACTGTGAGCGCTCAGAGCTGCAGCGGGCCATGCGAACAGTGTAAGTGACCGTTATATGTATATAAATATATGTATACCCTATAAAAGAACTTAGAAATCTGCATAAGATCTGCAAAATTTGCGTAGTACTACAGCGCTAGTAAACGTCGACTAAAATTTCACTAAAACATATTAGGTAACTCAAAATTTAATCGTTGATATCGTAGTGTAATCATTTAGTAATCTCACATGCGCTGCCCTCTGTCTTTTCTGCCAAACATCGATCTGGCTCAAATACACGAGCAACGATGTTAAATTCCTCTCTTGATAATAACCGCTTAGTTATCCTAATCTTACATTGTTAAGTTAATCCTAAAAGGTTCCAGTATATTCATAAAATACCGTCAGTTAGGTGGAGGGAAATTAAAACATATACTCACTATATACAGAAAATCATATGAATTTTGTTTTCACCACTTTTAGCTCCATATGTCCKTTGCCACAAAGCACACCCGAGGGTTATCGCGTTATAATCGGAAAATTAGCTGATACTAATGCATCCAACTTCAACTATGTGGACTGCATGAAACTGTAAGTAATTGAATAAACATTATAATTTTAATTTTTCGTTTCTCTAACGCTCAATTTTTTATAAAAAATTTCGATTTCTAAATTGGTAATAATATTGCGTTTAAATACCAGTCGGTTTCGAATATAGATTTGTTTGGATAATTGGTTGAAATTTGGTTCATAATTGGAAGAACCCAAATATTTTCGTAAAATTGTACGAGCTTCTATTTCATTATCTAGTAATAGAAATACTTAACCAAAGTATCAGGAGATGGAATTAGTCGACACCGAAACCTCCATTAGATATTTATCTGAAGTACTTTTCCTCTTTCTA